GCTCACCGCAACCTCCGCCTCCTGGGTTCAGGCAATTCTCCTGCCTCAGCCTCCTGAGTAGCTGGGATTACAGGCACGCACCACCATGCCCAGCTAATTTTTTGTATTTTTAGTAGAGACGGGGTTTCACCATGTTGACCAGGATGGTCTCGATCTCTTGACCTCATGATCCACCCGCCTCGGCCTCCCAAAGTGCTGGGATTACAGGCTTGAGCTATCAACTTTTCAAATAAGCAGACCAAATTACTGGCAGATGCAATTTGTTTTGTATGGAAAGGGTGAGTTGACCAGGAGTGTATCCCAAAGAACAGTGACAATTATTGTAATGAAGGAGAAATGATATGACCTAAATAGTAGGAAATTGGTACTACCACTTAATACGAATTTCACTGAGTTTAGTAGCATTTTTGACAATATGAGAAATATACACAAAAACAGAGAGAAAAAGGGAGATTATCATCTGTCTATCTATCTATCTATCTATCTATCTATCTATCTATCTATCTATCATTTAATCATCTGTCTGTTTAGAGCCTCTCTCTCTCTTTCTCCCTCTGTCTCTGTCTCTCTGACTCTCTCATCTATTGAGATACTAAAACAGAACCTGCCCACAGGGGTGGCTTAACTAGTGTTTGTTGAATGGACACAATGAGGCCAATGTAAACTCCACTTGCTCCAAATGAAACTTACAGGAGAGTCCCCCTTTAAATATGTTAAGTTCATTTAAACAGATCTTTCCTTGAAAGGAAACCTCTTTTACTGCATGCAGGAACTTCTTAGGTCCCATTTGCAGTTTTGGTCCCCAACTGGGATGCACTCGCTGGCCCAGTCTGATGCTTATGACTTGTTCTGATTGGTTGATGCCCATGTTGCACTAGCTGTTTACAACTGTACTGTGAAAAGCATCCTGCCCCTTTATCAACCAAAAGAGGTCTCTGATGTAGGAGGCACAGTAAATCAGTGAGGGAGAGATGGACATTGAGTTGATGGTATTAGAAAAACTGCCTGGCTATCCACAAGGCAATAAAGTACAGAAGCAATAAAGAGTTAAATGTAAAAACAAGCAAAAAAACAAAAACAAAAACAAACAAACAAAAAACTCATAAAAATGCAAGTAGAAGAAAATAGGTGAATATCTATTCAGGTGATTTTCTGTAGGGCAACAAAAAAGAAAAAATTTAAAAATACTTTATACATTTATTTAAATAAATTTTAACATTTTTTATATATCCAAATTCATGAATAACAAAAAGCAAAAAATAAAATGGGAAAAAACTGCCACAATTACAACAAAGGGCTGATTTGGAGTTTATATAAATAGAGTTAAAAAATTTAAGGCCTCAATCGAAAAACAGGTAAAGGTCCATAATAGATAGTTCACAAAACAGAAAATGGCTGATGAACATCTGGAAAAGCTGTTCAATGGCAGTAGACCTCCCAAAATACAAATAAAACAAGATCTTTTCTTTAACCTATTAAATTAGAAAAGATTTTTTTTTTTTTTCTGGCAGTGATATCAGTCACTACTCCTAGAGGCATTAGGAGAGAACAGCTCTCTTCATCTATTGCTGCTTGGACTGAATTGCTAAAATCGATTTGCGAATATATTTCAAAAGCATTAAAAGTACTATATGAACCTAGTAATTCTTATTATAGAAGTCTATCTTAAAGAAATAATCTTAAACTCAAAGATTTATGCACACAGATTTTCATTTAGCATAATTTACAATAGCAAAAACTGGGACCCACAGACATTCAACAAAAGAGAATTATGTTGTATTGGTATAATATAAAATTAGACAGTCACTAAAAATGTTACAGATACTTTTTAGTGACATGGGGGAAGTAAATGTAAAAACAAGAATGCACAATTTTATACTCCATAGGCGCATACCAAGGCTAAAAAAAAAAAAAAAAAAAAAACAGATAAAAAGACCGGAAGGAAATCATCAAAATATTAAAAGTGGTTAACCCTTACTGGCGAGAATAAGGGTGTTCTTCTTTGCTTCTTTATATTTTGTTCTCTCATTTTATACTAAGTTGTCCACAATGAGCATGTGTTACTTTCATAATCAGGAAAAAATTCATTATTTTCAAAAAAATCTCCAGAATTAATCTTGCCTTTACTTGGTAGAAAACATCAGAGGAAAACATTTTGATGAATTGTTTGACAGTAGTTTTTTAAAGCAGAATTTCACAGTACTATTCAAACATAACTCGCAAACTAATAACTAATTTTTGGCAGGGCAATAGTAAACAATGAAGAGGCAAAAATTGTATATATTTAGTTTCTTCAAAAAATGATGAAAATATCTCTATTAAAAAACACCGAAGAAAAAAATCCCGGCCCGGCTTCGTGGCTCATGCCTGTAATCCCAGCACTTTGGGAGGCTGAGGCGGACTGATCACAAGGTCAAGAGATGGAGACCATCCTGGCCAACATGGTGAAACCCCGTCTCCACTAAAAATACAAAAAATTAGCTGGATGTGGTGGTGCACGCCTGTCATCCCAGCTACTCGGGAGGCTGAGGCAGGAGAATCGCTTGATTCTGGAAAACGGAAGTTGCAGTGAGCCAGGATCACACCAATACACTCCAGCCTGGAGATAAAGCAAGACTCTGTCTCAAAAAAAAAAAAAAAAAAAAAAAAGAAAAGAAAAAAAATCCCTTAGTTGTTCAAGGTTTAAGTAAGGACACAAACATTTCTGTTTTATATACACCTTCATTATTAACTGACTTAAAAATTACACAAGGGGTATTTTGCTTCAGCCTTCATATCTTGCAATTTCTGAAAGTATTGTTGTTTGATATCAAGATCCAGAAGACTTACGATGTGGGGATAACTTTTCCATAACCATTCTCCTCCACCTTCCCAGACTTCATTGCTTGCTTTTATAACTGTCTGTCCTTTCAAGGAAGTCACTGCAGATTCACATACTAGTGAGAATCCAACTCTTTCCCCCAGAGTCAGCCTCAGGCAAAACTGTTGTAGAGGTGGCTTTAGGTGCGCTCCCTTTCCTGCTCTCAAGTGCTTTAATCAAAGGAAACGCTACTAACTCTGCTGAATGTCTACTACACATCAGGCATTCAGATAAGGACTTTCACCCATACTCTTTTAACATCACAAGAATCTTGCAAGGGCTTGTCTCCTCATGTCTTCATGAGGACTCCGAAGCCCAGAGAGGTTAAGAAAGTTGCGGTTGGTCACACAGCTAGGCACAGTCACCACTCAAATTCATAGCCAGGTCTGTCTGATTTGAAAGCAGTGTTTGCTCTCCCTGAGTGGGATCAAAACTTTGCAACAGCCTTTCCATGCCTTTTAAACTGAATTATGCAGATAGTTTGTCTACTTTCCAACTAAAATTCAAATTGTTCTTAATTTGAAAGTCTAAAGTTTTTCAGTTTTCTCCTCAAATAATAGAAGCTTCCAGAAGAAAATGGACATTTGCCTAATTATCTCTAGTAGCTCTATCAGTTTACATAGAACCTTATTAAAAGAATTTCAACACTTTTCAGTTTTCTCAAATTGTCACACCTTTCTCCAAACCACATCATTGATAACAAGAAAATTCATGGGCTTGTCTTTCTGTGGGCTTAACATTATTTCCCCACTAATCTAAAGATCCCCCCAGAAGGTAATTAATTTCTCAGCTTCCCTCAGTAACAAATCGAGAGTTTAAAACACGAATTCTCAAGGAATTCTTGACTCCTTAATCAATTCTAATTCTGTCCTAACTAGCTATATGCCCTCAGGTAATTTACTATGGGCCTCTGAGATACAAATTTCTCATCTGCAAAAACCCGAATTAAAAACGTCACCATTCTTCTTGGGTTGTGGGTAGAATTAGATGAGATAACGTGAGTAAACTTCTTGATACATGGGGGCGGGAGGGCTCAGCAAGGTGCACCTTATTTCACGTGTGCCTCTCCTTTCCATATTCATGTGTCCTCTATTTAAAGCCCAGTGTGTCATACTAAGGGTTTTCTTTTTCTCCAGGACACATTATGTTTCCTATTACTTAACTCTCTTCTAAGAGACCTTGTTTGTCAATCACGTACTTACGCAACTTCTCCATTCCAAGTTACAGTGAAGAACAAGACCTAACAGGATTTGGATAAAAGCAGTAAGAGATCACTCTTCCATCTCCCTATCCACTTTCCCCTTCCCCTCCCTATCCCCCCAAAACCAAAACCCAAAAACAAAAAAAAACCTTACACCCGGGGGGGGGGGGGGGAACCCAGTGTGACAAAAAAACCCAGAAGTTACCAATTCAGTAATTTCCATTTAGTGTCAAAGAAAGAATGTCAAAAGGGTAGCTTGCAAGTACGGAAAAAAAGAAGGCTTTTCCTAACCAACTTTTCCCGTTCTCCATTATTCCTCTGTAGCAGCTTTTGGTGTTTCTGGTCTGGATAAGCCAAGGTGTCTAGGGGGACCCTATTAGCCCCTTGTGAATCCTGGCCAATACTTAATATCTTGGATCCGAGAACCGATACCATGAGCTGGGGGAACGGAATCTTTCTCAACCAATAATAGGTAATGGAAACGTTTTTGCTGATTTGATTATCAAGAATTACTCCTGGTGATTAAAACCAAAACATTAGTCAGTTAAAATTCTAAAGCTGGGGAGAGCTGAAGTAGCCACTTCACGACTTAACGTTTCAGGAATATAAATTCTATGTTCAGAAAATTTCCCCACACTCTTCGCTGGCACATTCACAGATTTAGAAAATGCCAGGAGCCCGGGGGATGTGATGTTTCTAGGGGGTCTTGTCCTCCGCACCCTGCCCGGGAGCCCAGTTGATGCTTAAGCGTCTACAGTGTAGTTTCCCGCATTTTCCTCGGGCCGCCATTTGTCTACCTGTCCCATCCAGGACATCTCCCTAAATGATCTCTGAGTGGAAAAATCACGACCCTCCTAGGAGATTTTTCCGGGAATGAACGTGCGTGGGGCCGTTCGAATTCCGGAGCTCAGATTTCGTTTCCCGCAGGTCAAGTGGCGCGGTCGGTGGGGCCCGAGGGATGCTCACAGCTGTCCCTGAGAGGTGCCGCTCTCCTGCCACCGAAGTCGCAGGGAAATTCTGCTGCACTGACGTGTGAGTCATTTTAATATCGGATGTTCTAATCCTGCGGGGGGAGAAAAAGTTTGAACCATGCACTGGGCTTTTGTCACGGTCAACCCCAGCCGCGCCCTGCGCCGTTCCCCATTCACGCAGGCGAGGTGGCTTGGATTTGCACCTGGTTGCAGGAGCCTCCCGTGCGACATCTCCGCCCGCACCCCGTGCGGACTTGGCTTGGCGGCGGCGGGGAGTCAGCCTGTCCCCGCACGGCGGCCCGGACTGCAGCCCCTGGGCCCACCGTGCGCCTCCCCGTGCGCCCTTTCCGGGCGCGGGTCCCTGTCCCGGCTCCAGCGCTACGCGATCTTCCTGCGAGTCCGGCTCTGCGCGCTCCCCGCGCTCCCCGCAGCCTCCGCGCCGCCCGCAGCGCCCTCCAGCCCCGCCTCGCGGCCGCGGGAATCCGGAACCTGCAGCCCCGCCCGGATCCGACCACCCCGCGCAGTCGCCGCCTGCCTCGCCACGAGGGGCCTCCGCCTGGCATCACCGCCAGGTGCCTTGTCTCGGGTCGTGCTGTCGCGCGACACTGGGGATCCAAGAAGCCGCCGGCTCCTCGGCTGGCCCCGCAGCTTCCCTGCGGCTCAGCGGCCTCCCACCCAGGAGAAACCCACATTTGATGAGAGTTTTGAATCAAACCCACTGTTCCCCCAGGTGTTCAACTACCTCAATTTCTAATTATTCTGCAATCCCTTCTAATTCATCCCTTTCCTTCTAAGGGTTGCCAGTGGTTCAAAGTTTAGACTTGGGATATAAAAAAGGCTATTCACAGCCTTATTAGGAGGGGTAGGTTGGGACTAGGAACTGGATACTGAATGGATTTTTAATCTACGGAGAAAAATCATTCAGCTGAGACCCAGACTCTTTACTTTCCTTTCTGAATCTCAATGTCTTCTATAAAATAAAATGCAGAACAATACTATCTCACCTGCGTCAGAAAGTTGGTCACATGGTCTCACGAAGTCTCTTTCATGGCTAGGATCTCTGATTTTGTGATCAGTAGACTGAAATTTATGATTAGAAATAGGTAATTTCTTGAAAGCAGTGAATGGAGGGCATTACGTGTGAATCAAGTACCCGCAGCAGGGAGTCTTTGTCTCCCCTTCTCCCCAGGTGGGGCAGGGTCTTCCACACTCTGAAATGTTAGTGTCAGTAACACATAATCAGGAAGTCAAATGAATATGCGGATGTTCTAGTCCTTTAGGATTCCTTGCACCATTGATTCTCTCCACTAATATTGACAAGCCAAGGTTAATGATAAATTTTGAGTTTCTCTTCTTTGCCTTCATGTTTGTAATCCTGGAGAGAGGCAGAAAAAGGAACTAATTATCTTCTAACAAAACAAAACAAAACCCAAAAAACAAAAGCAAAACAGAAAAATCAATCTCATTGATCAGTGTGGAAAACCAAAGACCCAATCCTCCCCTGTGCCAAATCCCTCCCGTGACCCTCCACTGTGATTCAAATTGGAGTGTTCTGGAAAATGCCGGTTCGAATTGCAAGGAGGCAGAATCAATTTCTCTCTGTGTCTCTTAAAAGGAGACACAGGCACTTCTCAGGGACATTCCCTTATGTCTTTTTGATGCAGGAGGTTTAAGAGGCTCCATCTTAAAGCCCGCTGAGTTGGCTGAATGCTGACTGTAGGTGTGTCCAGTATGAGCAGTGTAGTACCAAGTCTTCAGAAAGAATCTAGAGTATTTTTACAGAACAAATTGCCTTTGTTTACCTTTGTGAATCATTTCATGCATGTTCTTGTTTTTGACCCACCCTTTGCTAGGATACAAGAGCCAACCTTCTCTAAGAGGGGGAGAAAAAGAAGGAAGATGTGTGAGCTCCCCCTGGTGCTTTCCCGCATTCAGGCTGACTGAAAGGAACTGCAATGAAACACGTCTACACAGGCACCAGGAAAAACAAAATATCTGGATTCTTTCCTTTAAAAAAATGCCTGTTTCCATGCTGATGGGCCTCAGAGCAAGAACCTCCAGGCTTAGGGCCTGAATTCTACATGTCACTTTAGGAGGAATTCTTGCCTTGTCAGAGAACTTGTTTCCAAAACAAAATTTCAAGTGGGGGATTTGCCAAGCTGCCCCGAGGATGGGATTACTCTTGGAATCAAACGGGATTACTTTTTGTCCAGAACTGTTCTTTGTTAGTCTAGTTATTCTTTGACGGAATCATTTTCACACACTTCTCTTTGTATGTATTGACAGCACAAAGTTATCACAGAAACCAGCCAATTTGACCAGTGGTGCCTTTAATTCCAGATGGTATCTCCTATCCTAATAATAAGCTATATTCATAATGGCCTCTTTTACCTGGGGGTCAGGGACGTCTGTGAACTCATCTGAGAAGACTATGGTGGAAATTTCACTTTATCTATTCAATATACCCAATAAAATGGACTGCAACAATCTATCGACGTGTAGTCAGTCTTGCTCTTGGTCCATATGGTGGAGAGTCTAAAAGATGTGTGAAATTCATTTCCTACCTACAGGTGGGAAAATCACTTAGGGAACAAACTTTAGTGTTTACTAACGTAGTTAAAATGAATGGGTCAATATTATCATGTTTCTATCACCTTGTAAGTAAATACAAAGCTTTTCTTCACTCCATTTTGTATGTGTAATTTTGATTGAGTGGGAATCTTGTAAAGCCAAAAAATGGAACTGAAACCCCACTCATAAGACCATAAGTCTCTTTTTCTTAATTTTTAATTTTTCTTTTGAGACAGGGTCTCGCTATGTTGCCCAGGCTGGAGTGGAGTGGTGCCCTCACGGCTCACTGCAACCTCTGCTGCCTCCCAGGATCAGGAGATCCTCCCACCTCAGCCTCCTGAGTAGCTGGGACTTACAGGAGTGCATCACCACAGCCAGCTAATGGTTAGAATTTTTTTTTTTTTTTTAGAGACAAGGTTTTGTCATGTTGTACAGACAGGTCTTGAACTCATGGACTCAAGTGACTTGCCTACCTTGGCCTCCCAGAGTGCTGGGATTACAGGCATGAGCCATCACACTTGGCCAAGACCATAAATCTTAATTAATCTAGTTCATAGTCTCAAATTCATTCTACTCTTTGATTTTTATTTCTCCCAACATACTGCACTCATGCCCCCCCACCGCCACCTCTTTGTTAATGACGTTCTCTGATCTGCACTGCTGTCCTCTCCCCTCCTCCTGTGATCCAGTACCTATAATTCATTTTGTCACAGGTGAGGCTTACCTCTTTCTGTCAGCTCTCACCTGTACAGATTGCTTCATTTTCTATCTCTTTTTGCGCTTATTATTTGCATCACCTAATGACTTCTTGTAGAGAACCTCAGTCTCTAGTAGATAAAACCCACGCACGCACGTATGTTACCTCTGGCTCGGAATTGGAAGCTCCTTAGAGAAAGGAAATGGCTTTTGTTTCCTCTGTATCTTCACACTCTCAAAGTGTGCTGATATCTTTAATAGTTCTTAGCTAAATGAGTCAATTGAAATAATAATCTGGAGGGATTTTTTAAAATCTCAAACATTTTCTAAGTCCCATGTCTCTTAAATGAAAAATTGTCAGATGAAGGAGCCATTTTCAGGATTTTAATTTATGTATTAGTGGTACTCTGCTTCCACTCCAAAAGGATTTAAGGTGAGCTTAAAATATTATGAAAATGAGATAAGATTATTAATTCTATCCTTGCGAGCTCTAAAATCTTATATTTCTAGATCGTAGCCTAAACAATGAAGTTTTTTTTTTTTTAAAAGACAAAGGTGTACTCTATAATATCACTCATTATCATGTTAAGAAAAAACCCCAAAACACAGATAAAAAATTTCACAAATATTTTTGCGTTTTCTTTGCATATCATACCCATACACGCACACACACACACACATACATACATACATAGTCACACTAGAACTGTACTGGCAGTGAACATAGGTTGTTTAAAGTATAGCTATTCAACTGTCATATAAAGTGAAATCTATATTTTCTCTCTCCCTATATGACTATATATTTAACATCTCTATGCATATGTGTGTGCATACATATGTATATGTTATATACACACACTCCACATTATTATTTCAAAGGGGATTTTGCTCCTTCTGGCTACCAGCAATAACTAGTCAATATTTACACTCTTGAATATCGATGACATCATGCATACACAGGAAAGCTGTGGAAAACATCTCCATTTCAAACAGAGTTTTAATTATTTGTAAAGACTTCAATTGTTCACTATCTAATGTCATGGATTGGTCCTCACAGTGTGAAGTGCAACTGCCCAGATCCCCCACAGTATTATAAATAGTCTTCTAAAGCCGTGTTGATTGATGTTTGGCATAAAACTCTATTCCTCTGAGCACATATATTCCTTCTGTTCACCATTTTCATAGAAAAATACCAGGGCTGATTTTTTATTCAAATCTCCAATTTATGCAGGGTTTAAACTACTAAATACTTAAAGCCATTTTCAGATCTTTCCCCCCTTTTCTGTTAGGTAGGTAACTAAATCTTTTGCTTCAGTGCAAATAAGAATGGGAGATTTAGCAGATTCCTGTGGGGGAGAGGAAGAGTTTATTAATTATATTGAGAATCAAATAATATGCTTCTTTGACACTAATGTTCCATCTTTCTCCACCCCAAGTATCCTATGGGACAAGTTTAAAGCCTTTATCAGGGTCTAGATTACTGCATTTATGGTTCCTTAGAAGAAGGAATTTAATGAACGGCATTCTGAGTTGAAGAGAGAATCTGAGATGTTTTAAGGTTTAAGCTGCAACAGTGAAACAATTTTTTCAAAGTATGTCCCAGGGATTGTAATATAAAACATCAAAAAATAAAGCACAGTAAAGTACATTTTCATGAGTCTTAATAAATTTTTAATACTGGTGAAATGTAAATTTTTCCTTCATGACCCTTATCTGCATTTGACAGAGTCCAACAGAAAACTTTAAGTACCTGTTTAAAGCAATTTACAAGATACTGTGGAGATTCCCAGCAACAAAGAATGATAAGTGATCTTCTTAAAAATTTTTATGTTGACAATATTAAAACCAAGTGGCTTATCCAGATTGGTACCTTTATCAAGAGTGCATGTATACTTTTTAGCTCTATATTAGAAACAAATTCTACTTGAATGCAATTCGAAAGTACCATTACCTGATGAATTGCAATAATTGTTAATTATTATATGATACTTACTACATGTCAGACACTGTGCTAGGCACATTCCATGTATGATTGCATTAAGTTTTTATAATGCATCTTCTCTCAGTATCTGTAGGAGATTGGTTCCTGGGCCCCCACAAATACCAAAATCAGTGGATGCTCAAGTCCCTGATGTAAAATGGCATAGTATTTACACATAATCTATGCACACTCTCCTGTATACCTAAACTCATCTCTAGATTGTTTATATTCCAGATATAAGATAAATGACATGTAAATACTTTCTATAGTGTATTATTTATGGAATAATGAAAAGAAAAAGAAATCAGTACCTGTTAATCACAGACACAATTTCCCCCCCCAAATATTTTCAATCCATGATTGGTTGAATCTACAGATGTACAACCTATGGGTATGGAGGGTTGATTACTCTATGAAGGAAATCATATTATTATCACAGTTTAAAGGATGAGAAATTTGAGGCATAAACAGTTAAAGTGATTTGCCTAAACTTACCTGCTCTGTAAAGATAGGAACAGAACTCTTAGGATAGTGGATAGTCTGACTTCACTATCCACTACCTTAGGAGTAGGTAAACTTTTTCCATAAAAGACCAGATAGTAAATACTTCAGGGTTTGCAGGCCATGCAGTCTTTGTCACAACTATTCAGCTCTCCTACTGTAGTGTGAAAGCAGTTCTAGATAATATGTAAGTAAATTGTGGGGCTCTGTTCCAATAAAGCTTTATTTAAAAAAACCAAAAACACAAGTGGTGGGCCAGATGTGCCTTATGGGCTATAGTTTGCTGACCCCTGTGCTATTCTATTCTGGCTGCATCTTCAGCGCAAAGAAAATCAACCAAATGGGCATTATGTTGGAACAGGTAAGTGTCTGTGCTAGTTTTGTCTTCTGAGTAGGCAAAAGCAGAAGATGTGAACTGAGGGCCTCAAAAACTGCCTCCCACCTTGGCACTTGACTTTAGGCATCATTGTTGGACACTTTGGAAGGCTCCAGTTAGAACATGCTTATAGGCTGGGTGTGGTGGTACATGGTTGTAATCCCAGCCACTCAGGAGACTGAGGTGGGAGGATCTCTTGAGACCAGGAGTTTATGCTGACCAGCCTGGGCAACATAGTGAAAACTTGTTTCTCTAAAAAACCAAAAAAATCCAAACCAAACCAAACCAAACAAAAAAACAACAAACAAACAAACAAAAACTTAAAAATAAGCCAGCATGGTGGTGTACACCTATAGTTACAGCTACTTGGGAGGCTGAGATGGGAGGATGGCTTGAGACCAGGAGATGGAGGCTGCAGTGAGATGTGATTGGGCCACTACACTTCAGCTTGGGTGACAGAGCAAGGTCTTGTCTCACTGAAAACAAAAAATACTTATAAGGGTAGTGTCTTGCATTAACTTAAGTGTCCTCATTATTATTGCATTGTGGTTTACCAGTACAATAGTCAAGCTGAAATCTAACTCTGCCTGAATTTCTGGAGCATTGAAGACCTCTTTGTCTTACTCATAAGATGAGCTTGCTTCATTCTTTAGGAATTACTGGAGCCCCAAGTTACTCTGATTGCAGACCCTGTTTTGTTTAATTGAAGCTTTAATCTGTTTCTCTGGATCTGTATGGCTGAGTTGGTGATTCACTGGTTTTCTTGTCCACTGGCTTGAAGACATGTCTTACATTTCCAAGTCTCTAAAGAGAGGCCAAGGATTAGGTCTCATCCACCTACTGGCCAACTTTTCCAGTGCTGGCTGCCTCTCTGAAATTCTGTTTCCACCTGCTGGTAGATTCGTCATTACCACAGTGCATCCACGGCCATGTGTTAGGAAGTAGATACTATTTCCCCCTGCCAGTGCCAACCCATTGTACTCCCCATAAGATGCTGTATTCTTCAGGACAAATCAAATTTCTTAGCCACTGAAGCTTATCAGGAACATCCAGCCTGCCCCAGTGGGCAGATGAAGGTCCAGTTCCCTGGGTCCCCTCAGCTGACTCTGTCCAATGGCAGGCCATGGGGGAACAGATAGCAAAATGTGGGGTGGGGGGGGGCAGAAAGCAAGCTCCCTTACCCTACAGCTTTGCCTAAAGTGATATAGTTCCTTTTTCTCATATTCAAAAGCTAAATAATACGACTACGAGAGTATAGTTATTATAAGAAAATTGCACAAGGATTTGGCCTGACATTTCTCTGAAATAGCATAATGATGAGAATATAGTTTTGGCCTGATTGGCGAAATTACAGATGCAATTTGGTGAAAGAAAAACCAAAATGATAATTGATAATTAAAAAGAACCCAGGTGAAACCTTAGCTGTCATATGACCAACAATGCTTTCTCTCTTCTTCCCATTCAAGCATCTTTTAAAATCAATTTTTTTATCAAAAATCTCAGTGATTATTTTGCATTAAAGAACTAAGTGGATTTTTTAATCAGGAGGAAAATTCTCGAGTTTTGGGTTTAATCCTTAAATAGCAATCAACAAGTCTTTTAAAGTTCTTTAAATCATCACAAGATGAAAGAATTCTTTGTGATTCAAAGCCAAAGAAGTAATCCCTTGTCTTGTGTATGACCAAAAAGA